CATGTGTGTGTGTGTGTGTGTGTGTGTACATGTGTGTACATGTGTGTACATGTGTGTACATGTGTGTACACCTCTGCGTGTCCAGCGGGCAAGCCATTCCCAAGACGCAGAAGCTCATTTGCGAGGCGGTTCTCGGTGATGACAACGCCGACATCCTCATCCACCTGGAGCGCACGCCGCATGGCGTGGAGCTCGCCTGGACCGCGTCGCAGTTTGGCTCGTTGCCAGATGGCGGGTCGCTGGTGGCGGAGTCGCCCTCGGCGGACATGCTGCTGTCGCCACTGACAACGGCGGCCCGCGGCCCGGGCACCTCGGCCGGCACGCCGGCCGGGCACTTCACCTTCGGAAGTGCCACAGGGGCGGTGGCGGCGGCGGCGGCGGCGGCGGCGGCGGCGGTCGCTTCCGGGTCGTCCTCTTCGTTGGCCGGGCCCGGGGGCCCGGCATCCAGCAGTGCCGCAGCCGCGGCCGGTGGCTTGCTGCTCGGGTCGCTGTCGGGCATGGGGGCAGCGGCCGGGGCGGCCGGGGCGGGCCCGGCCGGGCCGGCTTCCACCTCGGCCGGCGGGGTGGCGAGCACTGCCGCCACGGCGGCAGCCGCCGCCGCCGCCGCCGCCGCCGGGACAGCCACCGCGACGGCCGCCATCCCCTTCAGCGGCAGTGGCGGCGGCGGGGCCGGTGCGCCGAACCTCTTCTACTTCCGGCCAACCGGCGATGGCTCTGACCCGGTGGAGCCGGTGATCGTCCGCCGGGCCCTCCTGTCGGATGTGGTGGCCCGGGCGGCCGAGTCGGGGGTCGAGTGCTTTGCCACCAGCTCGGTGGCCAGCAAGTTCGGGGCCGACTCGCTGGAGTCCCTGTCGGTGAACACCTCGCCGGAGCTGCTGGCCGCCACGGGACCGGGCGGGGGCCCGCTGGACCGGGCCCCCGGGGCCGGGGCCGGGGGCTTCTGCCCGTCGGACTTCGACCCGGAGGACAGCGCCCACCTGCTCCGGTACCTGGAGGCCCAGTTGGACCTCTTTTCGCAGATGTCGGCCGAGCGTCAGTATGCCGGGATCGACAGCCTGCGCGAGCGGCTCCCCTTCGAGCTGGTGCTGGACTGCGCGTCGGACTCTCGGCTGCCGGACGAACTGCGTGCCTCCTTCGTCAAGTGCGTTTGCCTCCGGCCGTCGGGTGTCTGGAGGTCCTGCTGCCTTCCTCCGTCCGGCGTCCTGTGTGTGTATATTGACCTTCCTCGTTCCTCGCGGCTTCCTCCATTTATCTTTTTTCCCTCCCTCTCTCCTTCTCTCCCTCTCTTCTTCTCTCCCTCTCTCCTTCCCTTCTTCTCTCTCTCCCTCTCTTCTTCTCTCTCTCCCTCTCTTCTTCTCTCTCTCCCTCTCTTCTTCTCTCTCTC